GAGAGAGAGAGAGAGAGAGAGAGAGAGAGAGAGAGAGAGAGAGAGAGAGAGATCAGGGGATGGGAAAAACGAAAAGATGACCAAGGCTGGTAGGGGTATATCGAAAGTCAATCCTTCTAAAAGTTTGTGAGTACGGGGGTGTCTTGTAAACTTGAACTTGTAGCCAACAGGGGTATATCGGAAAGACGATGGGTCCAAGCCGCACAAAGAGTATTTCACAAATTGAGACAGTAGTCAGAGGGGCGTTGGGCTCTCTACCCACGGCTTTTAGGGGTATTCTAGCATTCACATCATCTTTGAGGGTCGAAACGAATCGTTCGCCTAATGAATATTGATCAATATCAATCAATTTTAGTAAATACTTAATATTTATAAACACGAATTATAAATCAATGAATTGCAAAAAAATTGAGATCTTATATTTTAATAATTTATGAATCAATATTCATAAAAATCACTTGACAACAAAGTTGAAACCCCTCTTCAGCTTATCCAGACCTGGATCAGCCTGGCAGGATTTCATTTCCATCTCCGCTCCATACATTACCTAAGGCTTAACTTCTCTCCCGCATTTGCTGCTCCTGCTTTGTATTTGAAGTTTCATGCCTCATGTTGCAGCACGAGCACAATTTTTTTGTCCCCTCGAGTCTTTTGGTGCACGGGAAGTGGAATCGAAAACATCGAAATCTCTCCGATCGAAACTTGGCCATGGTTGTAGAAATCTCTCCAATGGAAAGTTGGAAACATTATTTATCTCCAGATTCGAAATTGTGCCCCCCCCCCCCCCCTCCCTCCCCCCCTTGCCTTTTTGAACCCCAGTTGGTTCCTATGTTGACTGACAGTATTTTACCTGTATTGTCTGTGTACATCGCCTTTTTTTCCCCTTTTCTCTGGTTCCGGTTCTGTGTATGTCTATCGTCCTGTATGGCTCACTATTGTAGACCCCCAGAGTTGCTCCTAGGCGCAACGAAGTACGGACCAGCAGTAGACATGTGGTCTGTCGGCTGCATTTTCGCCGAGCTTCTAAGCGGGAGACCGATTCTTCCGGGAAAGAATGAGGTATGTACTGCGTAATGTTGTCCAGATAATAAATGTAGCAATATGGGGCCTCGCTGCACTACTCTAGACTCTCGGATTTTCGACAGTGGGTCATCGCTGCACTTACTCTCGATCGGGAAACTCTCGAAACCCGATCGAGAGCTGTCAGAAGCCACACTATAACGCAACTCTCGAAACGTCGAGAGTCCCCCGCCTGCAAAAACTGAATTTGCAAGTGTCCTCGGTAGTTGCCCGCCGACAGGCTCGTTTTTTGAGAGTGGACCTCCTGTCCCGGCGGCCAGACTTTGTCCCGTAGCACAGTGGTGCAGCTCTTCTGTAGAGTAGGACGACGCCCAGGGTTTCGAGAGTTCACCTAGTGTAATAGGTTATAGAGTAAGTGCAGCGAAGGCCGGTATTTCGAGAGTCTCACCTCTCTGACAATGCTAGCCGAAGTCTCGAAATATTTTGAGAGTCTAGAGTAGTGCAGCGAGGCCCATGATTACTAATAGTAATATCATTACTAAGATTATTTCTAATATAATATTAAGAGTGTAATATTATTAATAACTGTGATAATTATTATATATATATATATAGAATGTGGGTGAGTGATAGTCTACTTTGATTTTGGTAAAGGTAGATTATCATTTACAGTGTAATCAGTGAGGGGATTCTGCAGACTGTTGAGGGTTCAGCCTCCTGATGAGTCGGTGAAACTCCTACGAAACAGTTTGTCACAGCCCCTCGTTTGTTGTCCTCTTCTCTCTCTCTGCCTACGGTTTTACCGGGCAGTTCTGTTTGTGACGATATATAGAATATGTACGATTTTTCATCAGCAAAACTTTCTTTTTCGGCAGTGAATCCTATTTTTTGAATTCAGTGAAACGCAGCTTTTTTTTTTTAATAGTTTTATCATCTTTTTTTTTTTTTAACTTTTATCTTTTTTTTCTTTTTCTTTTTTCAGAATCTTGATTCATTTTGCACGACGAACTTGGCCTCGGCTGCAGATCTGCATTCCGCTGCAGAATGCCACCATCTCTTCCGTTGTGTGTGATGCGATTCAAAACTTTTTTCTTTTCTGAATTTCCTTTCTTTGTTTTACAGACTCTGTACAAAGGCTTTCTAGAAACTGGCTTTAGTACTGAGTGACTTCAGAAACTGCCGACTTAAAGGCACAGGCGATAAAAACCGGCTATATTAGTCGGTGGCTGTAGAAACAACTCCTTTCTGAGTCCTTAAACCACCAGTACACCCGGGCCTCTTTTTCCGAGCCGCCAGCGGCGCACTTTCTCAACTGCCAGCGCGGCACTTCTTTTCTTTTTTGGCTGATGGCACCAGCCCTTGTGGTCCGGTAGGCCCTAGCCGCAAAAACAATCTTGTGGCGACAAGATGTTTTGCTGCAAGGCTGGGGCCGTGTACTTGTGCTTTAAAGACAGGCTATAGAAACTGCCTACTTAACAACACCGACTATACAATTGCAGGCTAAAGAAACGCAGGCTATAGAAATGCAGGCTATAGAAACACAGGCTAACTCTTCATCATCTATAGTGTTCTTAGTCGAAACCGGGTGATGTCCCCAGTATTTCATGATTCTGTGCTTTCATAAGGGACGCTGGGCCCGGTTCCCAGCCGTGTTGCTCCCCACGAATAGATTTGGAGCATCGTCTCAAAAAGAAAAAAAGAAAAAAAAAGGCTATGGAAACACAGGCTACAGGAACGGTCAGTTCGATGATGATATCTCAAGGCCGTCGCCCTTTATTTATTTATGTTTAAGAAAAAAAAGAGGAGTTTTGAAGTTTTCCCTTGAGTCTACCTTTGACTCGATTAAAGAAAACAAAGAAGAACGAAAAAGGAGAAGCAGTGGGCCTGGATATCACCCCCTCAGTGCAAGTTCTAAGAGGAAGGGGGGGTCATTTCTGAAAAATCTTGGGATGTGATAAAATATTCATGAAAAGTACAGAGAAATTTGCCGGGAATTGCAATGCATTCAACTTTTGGCTCAGGATCTTCTCCACATTGGCAACAGAACTGAAGAAAAAAATGAAGAAGGATAAAGGAAAGAAACTTAAGCCACCAGTACTGGCCTCCTCCGACGAAACTGGCGGGGTTGTCTACGCATCCCAAAATGAAAGGTTCGCCTACTGGATCCAAGTGGGGAGGGAGGGGTGCACAAATACCCCAACTTTGGTGGCAATGTTTCATCATCCTCATTTCCGTTGAGGAAGATGTTCCAAAAAAATCAGTGGTGTAGGATCGATTTCACGGTTTTCACCTTATCAGGGTGAAAAATTAAAAAATTAACAAAAATTCTTTTCGCCGGCGAGCAATATTTCTGTTCTAAACCGAATGTACTATGTTAGTCAAACTTGCTGTGACCTGGCGGGTGTGACATTTCAGGCTGGGCAGGCCAAAGTCGTCGCCTTTTTTTTTTTTTTTTTTTTTTTTTTTTTTATTTGAAAAGTTCAACGAAATATGTTCCGTGGTACTGGCGGTTAACGAATATTAATTTAAGTAACGCTTTTATGCCCCTCTATACCCTATCTCTAACTTCTGCAACCCCCCCCTTGACCCTTAGACATTTCTTTCATAAACAACCGTGGAGTTGTACGCCCTTAGACATGCGGAAAACCTGTACCCCCTTTGACATGCGCAACCCCCCCCAGATATAAAGACTGGGTTTTCTTTTCTTTTCTTTTTTGGCCTTCTTTCAGGTTGCCGTGATTTCGGTACAGCCCAGACCTGCATATCCCTACCAGACATACAGCTGATGTCTGGATCCTTGCAGCCTTGTCGATCGATTAGGAGGTAGAAAAGCAGCAGAAAGAAAAGAACAATTCTCTTGTTGCTTCTGCGCTCCCACGGTCCTATGTTGGATTTTTTTTCTTTTCTTCGACAGTTGTTTCACAAGTGCCCTGTTGTTTTAATCTTAGCCCATTTTCTCGAGTTCTGCGTGTCATCCTTGCTCAGGGGCCATGCTAATCTTAATTCTGTGTATCATTCCAATTTTGATGGATGTTCCAAAGGACCATGAGTGGGGTTTTAGTATTTTTGCTATTTTACATATCTGGATTTTTATTTTCTTTTGTCTTGAAATTATGCAGAAAAATGTGTGCACCTTCAACAACTGGTTGAATTTACTTCCCTCCTTGTCTCCTTATCTGATGATCTTATTTTTTTATTTATTTACGTTCCTTGTCAATATCTTTTTGCATTGAAATTGTTTTGGATATTTATTATTTATGTGCAGCTTGAGCAATTGCAACTCATCTTTCAGCTTTGCGGAACGCCAGATGAGTCAAACTGGGAGGACGTAACGAAACTGCCTTTGTAAGGAGCACTCCTGAAGGTTTTTATCTTTCCCAATCTTTGTCAGGGAATTACTTTATTACACTCTATTATGCACAATAACGTGCGCCTGTAATGAACCCGACTTCAAAAAGCTCACTAGATGGTTGGTTGACGTGCAAGAGTTGTTAGCCTCTCCGCCCTAATCAATCATATGAAGAAGGCTTGTCCGAAAGTTCAGTCTAGAACTACCGGAAGCAAAACCAAAAGGAGGGTAGGATGTAGTTATGTACCTAGTCTTCATGTCTGAAAAAGGAAGAGCCCTTTTGGGGCTCCCAAAGAAGTAGACGAAGTGGGGTCACCGACGGGCCTAGCTCAGGTGGTACACACATAAACTGTTGAAATTCAGACCTGTGTTTGAGTCCCAAGGGGATCAGACGAGTGATACAACTTCAAATTTACCTGGGGCTGGTCAGTTCAAGAGAGAATATCTTGAGGCCGTTGCCCTCTTACAAAGTGAAGTAGAGGAAGTTGTTGCTGGGTTCGTAGAACCGACAGGAGTTGTCGCCGGGTTCGTCGAACCTACAGGAATTGTCGCCGGGTCCGCAGAACCTAGAGGACTTATGGTTGGGTTCGTAGAACCTACAGGAGTTTGTTGCTGGCTTCTTCTTTAGGAAGTTGTTGCCGGCTTCTTCTTTAGGAAGTTGTTGCTGGCTTCTTCTTTAGGAAGTTGTTGGCGGCTTCTTCTTTAGGAAGTTGTTGTGGGCTTCTTCTTTAGGAAGTTGTTGGCGGCTTCTTCTTTGGGAAGTTGTTGCTGGCTTCTTCTTTAGGAAGTTGTCGCTGGATTCAAGAAAACCTTTTGCTTATCTGTTGCAACAGTTTTGGTGTCCAGGTATGAGACCGGATGCTCACCTGTTGCAACGTTTTTTGGGGTCCAGATATCCTCAACTTTATGCAGACGAGATAAAAACTGCATACATAGGCACCCATATGGGCTTGCTCAAACCTTTTCCTTATTGCTTATGGAGGTAATATGGACCCATTGAATTGGTGGCCATTGACTTCAAAGTTTGACCCCTCAAATTTGTCTACGACCCCGAAGATTTGCCTACGATGTTGAATTTTGTGGCCAAAGTCCTACGCTACCGTGTGGACAGATTGTGCAGGAAAATAAAGAGAAGTTACCTAGAAATTTCAGCAAGAGATGATAGGGGCATTGAGCAAAAGAAATATCCAGGTAGGAGATTTGGATTGGGTGAAAATTGCAGAGTTCAGTCTTGGCAGAAGTAATTCCCGAAAACTGCCACCACTGTATCATGGGCCATGTTTTAGATATTGCAGTAATGACCCTGATGGCCCTTCTTATGTCATTGCTGTCCCACCTCATCTCCGAACCTATCCAGTTTTTAATGTGCCTTTTCAAACTAGCAATCAGTCCTCTTCGTGTAGATGGATGATCCTGTCCTCAATAACGGATGGATACGTGGATGCAGATTCTTTTTTTCCCCTCCTTTTCTTTTTTTTCTTATAAGGAAAACAGAAGCTTATGGCCCCGGTTCTTTATGCATTCTGGGGAGCATCAGTCTGGCTCCTATTCCACTGGCATGGGTGTTTATTCTATCGTTGAACACCGGTACATGTTGGTAGCCAGACCTATAGGGCAGGGCCGCCCGCAGAAACCTAAGTGGTGGTAGAGAGTTCGGTTCGGATATCATATTGATCCTGGTGAAGATCGGCGGTTCACGAGGGAAGAACTAATCCACACCGCACCAGGTCTAGAAGTTGTGACAAGTTATGAAAGAGGTCTGAAAGGAAAGCAGCAAAGTGGAATGAAGGGGTTTGCAAACGGGGTGGGAGTGTGAGGCAATAAGGGCCACACAGTTGCAACATGACCTGGCCTACCTGCCAGATAGTTGGGATCCCGGTAGGCCGGGGGCACTTTTGGAAGTTACCGGATGGCAGGGCCTACTGGCCAGTCCAGATTCCAATCATTGCATATTGGAAGAGGCTGCCCAGCCGCACACACATTCTGGCTGAGCAGTGCTGGGAGGCCGGATGACCAAGTGGATGCCAGCATCCACCAGGACCACCAGCACCGCCAGCCAGCCAGCCAGCATAGTTAGGAGGGAAGCAGGCACCAGCCATAGCCGGGTGTCTGAGAGAGAGACAGCCGACACCAGGAGGGGAGGTCGTTGGAGGAAGTGGACAAGGCTGTATGGAGAGAGAGCTGGCGGCGGGCCTACCTGATGGTCTCGAAGAAGAGCTCCGGCATGGTACCTTCTTTCTGTTCAGGCATCGGTGGGAGCAGCATTGCACTCTCAAGCATGGGTACAGAGGGTCATGGGTTCGACTGCTGTCACCCTGTACATTCGGTAGTGTAGGCTGTAGTTGCTGATAGGGTGGATCATCGCAGGCTGGTAGAGAGACCATCGAGAGCCAAGAAGTATTATTGTCGTTGTGTCGATTGACTGGAGTCGAGAGAAGAGTGCTTTTCATCATCAAGAGACTTCAACAT